ATTCTTATACAATATTTAATTTAATAATTAATACTTACATGAGCGATAGGTTTTGTATTTCCTGTAGTAAATAAGATTGCTATAGAAAAGTGTTTTCCTGGCATAATATTCTTATTATTTTGTAATAAATATATACTAGCATAAGAAAGCGTAAAGAATAAATTGTTTTATTAAGAAATTTTATTTACAATTGTTTATTTATAATGTTTTCATAGGCGAAAAATGAATACAAAATAAAAAATAGAGATTGAAAAAATTAGTATCTGTAAACCGGAATCGAACCCCAGCTTTTGAGCATAGAAATTCTCGACTATCACCGTTGGGCTACAACTCCAATCGTGAAATATGGAGGTAAAAGCTATAATTGGGGAGTAATAAAACTTTAATCGTAAATATCTCAAAAACTATTGAGTAGTTGTGACTATAATGAGATATATTCTTAAACTGCATGACGAAATTTATATACCTGTAACGTTTCAACTAAATCGATGACTTGCACTCTCCTTGTAAAATGGCGAATTGAAGTTAGTTGACAGTTAGTTTTATAACCATTAATTGGTTAAGACTAAAATCGAGTATTGGAAATCAAATTAGGTAGGACAATTATACAGTCAAAATATATATACAAATTTGAAGATTTAGTACAAAGTAATAAATTATTATATTGTACTTTTATATTAATCGTCTACTATTCCGTATGTACGTAGTAATATGTAGTAACTTTACGTAACTTTACGTAGTAAAGTACATTATGTATTTTATCAAATTTGCTATAAAGGTATTTACATTTTATTACATTATAAACTGAAAAAGATTTATATGATACAAAATACGGTATATTATTTATAATAATATCTTACATTATTGTTACTTATTTCATATATCTAACCTATATAAATTATAATTGTGGTTTTGTTAAATGAATAATAAAAACGATACTATTAATTTAATGTATCAATTTTAATGTATTTTTAGATTGATGCCTGTTTGATTTAAAAGAAATTCTGCGCCTAAAAATAATAATTAAAAATATAAATACTAATATAAAAATGTCTACTACATTGGAAGTCAATGATCCATCTGAAGATAAAGAAATAGTAAACAATTCTCAGCATTTTAAGGAACGTGCAGAACGAAATCGTCAAAAAGCATTACTTTTAAAAAAATCTAAAATAGTTTCTCATCCATATATAAGGAGGTATATTATAATAAACTATTACCTTTAATATTAATAATCTAAAAAATAAAAGTTTTTAAAATTGCTTAATTTTTTAAAGTGAAAATGGAGATTCAATAAAAGGATCATTTTCAAAAACTCAAGGGCAACGAGTCATAGATAGTGGAGGTGGTTTTCTTATAGAAGAAAATGATGATATAGAAGAACAAATGGTACATCATTTTTAAATATTTTGAAATTTATAATACTCTATATTAAATGAATTTAGTAATTATTATTTCTTTCCTTTTAGTTACAAATAACATCAGAACCTGCTCCAATTATTATTAATTTACCTCACTGTGATGAATGTAAAGAGGAATTTAAAGATTCATATCTTTTACAGACATTTGATGTTCTTGTATGTGATAAATGCAGGTACAAGCTTTATTTCATATTTATACTAATTATTTTAATATTAAACTTAAAATATTATATTATGATCAATTTTATTTTAGAGATCCGAAGGACAAACACTCTTTAATTACAAAAACAGAAGCAAAGCAAGAATATTTATTAAAAGACTGTGATTTTGATAAAAGAGAACCTCCATTAAAATGTATTACTAAAAAAAATCCTCACAATGTAAATTGGGGTGAAATGAAACTATATTTGCATTTACAAATAGAACAAAGAGCTTTGGAGGTATGGGGTTCAGAAGAAAATCTATTAAAGGAAAAAGAGTTACGTGATGTTAGAAGGGAAGGAACTAAAATTAAAAAATTTAATAAGAAGGTAATAAACATATTTCAAACTTATACTTGAATACAAAATAATATCAATATAAATATCTTTTGTTAAAAAATTACTACTTTTTGTCATATAGATTAAGCAATTAAGAATGCAAGTTAGAAGTTCATTGTATGATAAAACATCAAAGGCATCTCATACACACGAGTTTGGAGAAGATACATATAGTAAACATGATGATACATATACACACACCTGTATTACTTGTGGGTATGAAGAAACATATGAAAAAATGTAAATTTTTAGTAATTATAAATTTTGTGGTATTTATTAGACTATATTTTTGAATATGATTTTTTTACATTAAAAAAAGTTTGTTTTCTATTCATAGAATGTGTACACACGTATTAAAAAGAAATCAAAAAGTCAATTTCCTTATTTATTTAATATATATTTTCTACCTTTTGTTCATTTTTCGATTCAATTTTATCTTTTGTATTAATAAAGTTTTATATAATATAATGCATTCGTAGCTTTTCTCGTTATTTAAATAGTTAAAAACAAGAAATATAATTTAAAATTTTTATTTGCATTATAATATCATAATAATATATATACTTTTTTAGTTAAGGAAAACAATTTGATTGTTCTCAGTATACTACATAATGTACAGTCTTTGATTATATTCTTTTTACTGTTACATTATGACAATCTAAGTTACTACAGCTAAAAGTTAATATTGCACTATGTAAAAATATGACTGTGTATGCAAAAAATAATCTTTGCACCATATTAATTTTATACAACCATTGTTAATTGCATATGTCATTGCAAATTAAGTGTACATTCCATCACATTCAAAATACTATGTTCTGTTCATAACATAAACCAAACTTGTAGCATACTAGATACATTTTTGCATTTGTTTCCAAATTTGTATCATATTTTCAATCAAATTGTTAAAATCATTTCATTGTATTTACTCCTATTTCAAGTTTAGTTTTTTGGTATATGTTCTTTCACGTATATAAAAGAAATATTTCTTTGGAATATTATGTTCATACAGTCATACAGTACAAGACATTCTACTAAAAGAACAGAAATTAACTTGTTGATGTATGATTAATGTTAAAACTTCTCTCCAAACTCCTTACAAACATTTTGTATAGGATCTAATGTATTTGGCACACATAATTTATCTCCTGTATTATTTTGAGAGACACTCATCGCGTTTGTTACAGTGGTAGATGATCTAAAATAAAATCATGTTGTGAATTTTGTGCTGTTCCTACAGATGAAAAAAAAGATATATTTTTTTTTTATTGACATACCTATTGTGCCTAAGATGACTTTTGACTAAATGTCCAGCTGTAAGTGCAGCCATTAATGACAATTCACCGGCAAGTACTGTAGCGCATACTATTCTAGCTAATCTACTGGCATTTTCACCAGGTTGATCAGCATGTGCACCTTTAACACCTAACATAGCTAAACATGCACCTTGTGCAGGAAGACCTGTTCCACCTCCAACAGTACCTATTTCTATACTGGGCATTGTGCATGACACATACAGATCTGAACCATCAGTTCCCCATGGTTCCATTAAAGTCATACAATTACTACTTCCAACATTCTGTGCCGGATCTTGACCAGTCGCTATAAAGATTGCAGTTACAATATTTGCAGCATGCGCATTAAAACCTCCTATGCTGCCAGCTACAGCAGATCCAATCATATTTTTACTTATATTCACATCGACTAAGGCATGAACTGATGTTTTTAACACATTAGTAACAATATCTGCAGGTATTACTGCTTCACAAACAACGCTTTTACCTCTACCGTGAATCCAATTTACTGCTGCTGGCTTTTTATCCGTACAAAAGTTACCACTTAATGATAATATTTCCATGTCAGGAAAGTGTTCTTTCACCATGTTTAATGATTTCTCAGTACCCTTAGATAACATATTCATTCCCATAGCATCCCCAGTAGTTGCCACAAAACGAATAAATAAATGTCTGCCAGCAATGCGTATATGAATTTTCGTTAATCTTGCAAATCTACTAGTTAAATCAAAACTATTTTTCATTTCTTTAAAATGTTCAGTATCTTGCATCCATGCCATAGCTTCACTTGCTCTAACAATATTTGGAAATCTCACAACTGGTCCTCTTGTCATTCCATCAGCAACTACACGACTTGTCACACCGCATTTTAATAATGCTCTACTACCACGATTTGTAGATGCTACTAAACAGCCTTCTGTTGTTGCCATTGGTACATGATACAATTCACCATCAAGTAATAATGGGCCAGCAATTCCAAGTGGCACTGGCACATATCCTATAATATTCTCACAACAGGAACCTAATACCTTACTATAATCGTAATCTTTATACGGTAAGTCAGAAAGATTATCAAGAAATTTTCCGGCCTCTCCAATTATAAGACGCCTGATTCCAACACCGCGCTCCATATCACCAACTGCTTTTTCTAACTGATAAGCGGCTATATGCTTATTCTTTACTAATTGAATTACTTCCTCATCTGATAGTGCATTTGCTCCAAGCTATAAATTTAACAATAGATTATTACAAATTACATTACATAGAAATTCAAATGTATATGTGTATATAAATTTATATATATACGCACGCACGTACGTATATATACATATAATGTATATACTTTACTTACCTCAGATTTATATATTTCGAGACATTCTTCTAACGATCTAGGAACTTTCAATCGTTGAAATAGACTTTTATCGTTCCGAATATCTACATTACATTGTTTTTCATCTATGTGCACTTCTTTATTATTAATCCAATCACGTACCGTGGGTGAAAGGGAGATAGTTTGTATTCTAGTAAAATTTTGTCTGAATGGCATCTTGCTGATAAGTACATTCAAATCTTCACTTTCATTTTCTTTTTGTTTCACATGGTCACTTTCAAGTCTTTTTTCTTTCATATAGTCACTTTCGTTTTTTTCTTCTACATTGTCTTCCACTTTAAATCGTAACTGTTTAGCGATATCTCCCTTGTTTTCAAAGAAAATAAATTTAATTGCGAGTGCAAGAAGAAGTATTAATATCACAATATTATCTGCACTGACGGACAGCCAGTTCATTAAATACTCCTTGACTTCAGATGAATTCTCTGTCTTGTTGTAAGAATTCACTATGATATGTGAATTCACGGAAGATACTTTGCCTTCTACCGTATATTCGCTTTCGTCACTTTTGAAAGGCCAACGACTAAAATAAATAAATATTTTATGTCTAAATTTATTGTACCTTTCTATATACAACAATAATGTATATAGATTAAGCTGATAAATGTTAAATCGTATGGTGCTATTTTTATGTACTATTTCAACAAGACTTGAATTTGGTATAAAGATATTAATAATTATCATTTTTAACTCGACACAGAAATGTTATACGCTGTTTTCTAACTTAACATACGAAGACATGAAAACCGCCTTCCTGAGATAGTATCTCCGTTTTTGCAATTCATTGAATATGAATAAAATGTATACTTATACTACTGTGTAATAAGTTGAACCTGACCTATGGAAGTTAAGAATAAGGAAACTGTCAAACAAGAAATATACTCGAGTAAAAATATGAGATATGCGATAACTTTTTGTCAGTTTTCTTTTCATTCTTACGTATTATCTGATGTATAAAATATAAGTTCATTTCAAACGATAACGTGATGCATATATATCGTGAAAAATAGAAAATAACACAGAAATACAATACCTGTTAGCATGTACCACAAATAGGCCAGCAATCATAATCAATTTAACGCGTTCTACCACCGGATTTGGCTTCTGATCTTCTTCGTTTAATGGATGTATCATAAAAATCTTATCGGCACTCAGTGGTTTCAAAGTATTAGTTTCTCGAGAAAGCTAGAAAATATCAACAATGCAATGTACATATGTATGTATACACGCACGCACACACACACGCACGCGCACACGAACACACACACATATATATATGTATATAAATTCGTACATTTGCCGTAATAATTGGCATTAAAATTACCTCGAGAATTAATGATAAACATGCAGGATAAAATGTCATGAAAACAATGTAATTCACAACAATTCCAAGGCAAGCAAAGCTGCATAAGATCTCTAATCTTCTAACACCGGATAAAGATCCTATGCTAATAAGTAAAGTTTCCACCAAAGTATCTAACGTAATAGTTGGTCCTAAGAGCGACATACCGCGAGCGATATTTGCTCGCACTTCCTCTTGATTTCTGGAGCTTAGAGCCAACTGAGCTAATATAGCGGCCTTTGAAAGGTCGATAATAAGCAAAAAGAAAAACAGCGCATCCCTGGAAAAGAATAATTTTATAAAACAAAAATTAAATAATACATTTCAAAACTTCACGTATCCTTCTAAGTAAGAACTCACTTTAAATCGGAAATGTCACTCCTCCCAAAATTGACTACACTGGACGTGAACACAACACTGGAAAATACGGTAAATAGGCCGGCGATACCTAGCAAAATGATATGTTTAAATACCCTTATCAATATTGCTAATGTTCATTATTTAATATTAAATTGCCTATGCAATTTTTACAATTAAATATTACGCAAATTCGATAATTAATTGTCAGTGTGTGTCGTGCAGAATGAAACGCTATCACTTTCCATGACACTTTCTCTGACACTGAATACTTTCACACGTATCATGAAAAGATACGGTTATATGAATAATCGAGTTACGCATAATTATCGTTCATTGTTCAATAAAGAAATATTTCTTAGCTAATCCCATGTGTTTGCTTACCTAAGATATATTTTGAACCCAATTTTTGTAGATTGCGAAATTGGTGATAGGTAAACAATATAGCTAAACATCGTATTATCGTCATAACTATAATATCAGCGGCATTTAGGTCCTAATGAATAATAATACATTATTTATATTATAGACTATTTCGAGACTTAAGGTTGCCAAGCGATGATTTCTATCATAAAGATACTTTTGTCCTTAAAATGAAAATTCAAATCAATTTTTTCTCAATATTTATCAGCTTACATCCGAATTACATCTACTAGATCGGCAGTGCGAAGACAATGGAAGGGTTCCATCCCGTGGATGTCCGCTTCCGGTCTCCATGCTTAGAATGCATGCCGTGAGCGTGAAGGTCGTCACAATTACTTCTAAGGGATGTCCAGCGCAAAACCGGCCATGAATTTCGAACAGACGCGTCAGCATATTTCTTGCTTTCGATAATTACTTACAACCTGAAACACACAATCACAGAATACCTTATTTAAACGTTCGAAATTTCTTCAACACGTTTCGACACAAAAGATCAACTTCGGAATATTCCCATTTTATCGCGGATAAAATTTATCTCTTTCTGAAAAATCAAACTAGTTCATCAAATTAGTCGATGTAATTGTTACGAGAAAAAAAAGCGAAAAAAAAAAAAAAAAGAAAGAAAACCAATGACACGCGAGCAACAAATTTAAGGAAAGTGTTGTTCGTTTATCGAAAATATTTGGAGAAATCGAAAGAGGAAAAATCTTGGCGCCAGGCTCAGCTTATTTTATCGGAACGAGGAGAGTATGTATCTGACGAACCATGTAAACAATAAAAGACAAGGGATAAGATGGGGAAAGCAAGTGGACGACCGATTGTCGCAAAGTGACGTTCCTATTGTATATTAATAGTGCTTCGCATAATTATAATTCTACCAATTACGTAATATAATCTAATGACACCTATGTATAACGAAACTCAATTTTTTTCCATGAACTTTGTGCCCATTCTATTTGAATGTCTTAAAGTTTATTGCTGAATGACATTTAAGAAAAAAGAAATTAGCATGAAAAATGAAAAAAAGATACAATTTAATGAGAGACATAAAGTGGAAGCATGAAATGTCTGTCAAGGTCGGTAACTTTCCAAGACCGTATGAGAACATTTCTATACCGGACTGACCACTGACCTCTTCTTACTTTCAATGGTTCAATGGAACCGTCGTTGAAAAGACTTCGTTATTTTGACTGCATATTATGATTCAAATAAAGTCACAACAATCGTTTCAGGAAATATTATGAAATGTCACGATTTCCTACACCTGATAAATCTCCGAAGAGCTGAAAAAGAAAGGAAGAGTAAATAAGAAATATGTCCAAAGCGTTCGTATATTTGATCGCTACACGAAAAGAATAAGAGAAAGAATCGATGATCGAATCGATGAAATATTTCTGAAAATCTTCGCTGCTACAATTTCGATAACTCTTAACGGCAAATTATATATTGGACTAGTTTCAGAATGAAATATGGATCTCCGGGTCTGAATATTGGTACCGTTAACGTGACAAGCGTCCTGAAAGTATTATGACACCGATGCATACATTAGTATTTAGTTTTAACATTCTAGAAATCAGGTTACAGGCGTTGAATATATATCTCGATACAAATCATGTAATGGAGATTTCGCAGTCGACGAGATGTCTCGTAACATTAGTCAGCTGAAATTTCGCATGCATTTCTTTAACCCTTTATCGTCTAATCTGATCTTAATGGAAAAAGCTTGTCATGTAAAACATCTCTGATCTGTCAGAGCTTTCGATGAACGGAGAATGTTCAATGATGCGAATATTCAATGATATTTTATCCTGCCAAGCATATACTGCCTAAAATTCGAATAGAAACGAATATTTATCGTTCAAAGATTTCACGATTATAATTTCTATTTATCTGCGATCATCCCTTTTCTTAGACAGCTTCATATAAAAAAAAGTGAAAATAAGAAAGAACGTGAAAGCCATGGAAAGCATTATTCTACCATTGAAATGAATAGAAAGTCCGATCGAGTATAATATAACGAATATGAAAATATATCATCATGCTAACAGATATTTCTTTAAAAAATTTTAATTCGCAATCTCGTTTAAACAACTTATTCTCTCTTAGCTTCTTTTCTCTATACATAGGTTTTGTGTTTATTAAGTAAAAAATTTCATTTTTATAAATTATTTTAAGAGAAATTCACCTCTTTGGATATAACAGTGTGCCTGATTTTCCATGTATCATGACAATGTTTCATTCGATCACGATTTTCTTGTACAGATGGTTTTTATCGTGCATCGGGTATTTATCACATATTACGGTAATATTGCCATGAAATTCCACTCACTTGGCGAGTAAAGAACATGTAGACCAAGGATGAGAAACTGATACTGATTTTATTAAAATGTAAAGTAAGATATAAATAGTTGATAATTCTCGACTACTGTCTTTATAATAATACAATAAGCTGATGTTATATTTGTTGATGCATTTGTCATTGCTAACTATAAACTTATGTTTTAAATCGAATACATTTAAGTAAAGGAATAATATATACATAGAAATTATTCGATTACGCTTATTTTACATCGTACCTTGTTACGGAGCACCCAACAACTCGATGAAACTTTTGACGTATTGCGCACGTGGTCGCGTATTACATATATTTATATCGCGTGTCCGCTGGTCTTGTTTTTGAAATATCCAATAGAACAGCGGCAAAAATAATAACACAATAGATCAAATTTTTTTAATTACATGACCACATTAACCATATTCACCTTTAGGTTAAAAAGTACTTCTTAATTAAAATATCAAACAACTGGTTTTTCAGATTTCTATTTTTCAAATAAAAAAGAACGCCCGTCAAAACCGTTAAGATTCAAAATCACACATGAAACGAATCACCTTCATCAATTTGGTACTTTGATACTGACTTTAGAATGAAAAGATAGGAACAAAAAATGACACTGACAGCGCGGTGTTCACCGACTAACAAAATTACGCTTACACTTGGGCAGCCTGTTCGACCTTACAGAACGCGTTTCGATCGCACTCGGCAATTTTCGTCTCCCTTCCTTTCGCCTTTCACGCGCACGTGTCTTTATCCCTTACCGTTTGAAATTATCAATTTGCGTAAGATAAGAAAATACCCGTTTACACAAAATGAATCGATAAACAGTATTCAAAATACCTACAAAAACAAACGAAATATTTGAATTACATATATATACAGTTTTTAAACGTACTACCGCGAAAATCGTTCAGCATTGTGCATTTCTATTCTTAGGATCCCTTTTGAACTCACACGTATTCGTGAAACGAAACACGCGCAGGCGCGTATCGTTCATTGCTGAATTTGTGAAAGGATCAATGGTTCAGCTTCATTTTGATAAACAAATTACGATTTTATTGAAAACGATATAAAGCTGATGAACCTGTATTTATTTTAACTATGACAAATATTTATCAATGATTTAAGATTATCTTAATTCGATACATTGTTTCGTTATCAACACAAAGTTATGCGAAGAATTGCGTAAATCTTCAACGAAAACTTTTTTGGGAAAAGTTATATAAATTTATATATTATAACTTGACTTACAGGCATGTGTGAAACGATTTACAAATTTAATAAAAAAACATTACACTTAGAGTACACCATCCACATATTTAAAGTGAAAGCACGATTTTTATGTTCCACGAAAATTTAATTATACACGAAACGTATTGTAGGCTAACCAGTAACAAACGGTAAAACGTAATGCGTCAATCCGCAAGTAGTACAACCGCTTCAGCCATTGACAACGTAACTTTCGCAATTTGAACGAACAAAGCAAGCAAGAATATAGTATTGTACTTAGTACTGGATTTTTGAATTAATGAATTCTTAATTAATACTATTAATAAAATAAAATATTATATCATTATTTAACTAAATGAAATTTAATAAAATTTATAAGATATAACGTAGAACATCCGAGAACCGTCCACGCTGATTTTCGTGATACGAAAAATGTAGATAAAATTTATAAGAAGCCTATATTAAGATTTCAATGTCAATTCTAAATTCAGAACAACGAGAACACTTGAGTTCTGTGAAAAATATATTTATGCACTCTGGAAATATTAATACGAAAGATAGTTATAAATCACGTATCATCCATTTTCATGAAAGGCAAATAAGATTTTAGCTGGAACTACTTTATAAACGTTTTAAATACAAACTATTCTTCCCGGAATTATTTTAAATACGACAGAAATTACTAATTCCGTATCAGGAAAGCTGTCGTTCCTAACAGAACCAAACTTCGTCATCTCTGCCGAATTTAGTGAATTGTATTTCGTGATCACAATTACGATCGATCAATTCCATCCACGGTGAATATACTTACTGTACATTCTGTATATTATTTAGAATACATTAATGATTACTATTCCGGACACAGTTTTTTTAAAAACAGAAACAAGATTTAATTTCAGCAAAAAAAAGTAAAGTTTAGTGCAAACAAAGCCTTGCATGAGATGACAGACTTGTTTTATAAATCACAGTAATTTATTTATACCCTACAAAATTCAGAAATAAATCATAATCTTAATAACCTGAGAATTTCAAACTATTTTCAAAAATATTATGGAGCTTATGACAACTCAAAAATTTAATAATTGATAAATATATCAACAATAATATTCATTTCTTTTATAATCTACCATATGAGACGTGGAAAATAAAAGCAATTGTCACAATATTTAGTAGAAATTGAAATAATTCGTTATTGGACCAAGAATCAAAGTACATAATTAGATTATAATCTTTTTAGAAAGCGTAATTTGAAGTCCATACAAGACGCGACATCATGACTTTATAATCACAAAGTATTTACGCGGTTTCTCCTAAGAAACGCGTGTAGCATATTCATTTGTTATGACTGTAGAAGTTACGTGGAAATTCTTTGTAGAAGGATTATGAATATTATAGAGAATTAAACATTAATATTTACGATCACGTATACTTTAGTTAATTCGGAAAAACTCAATTGTTAAATTTATTACATTTCTCAATTGCATAATTATTAAAATACATTGTTGATATTAAGGAACATATTACGTAATTATATTTAGGATACTGTTTTTCATAAGTAACGTATAATTTTTAATTTTCTACTTTACAAAATATTTTGTGGACAAAATATCATGGCTTATGTTAATTAGAAGATTACATAAGGATATTTAATTATATAGGTAACTTTTTTTTTCGTTCTCACATAAATCTTAATTATTATTATAAATTGTTCCAAATTAATATGAACAATTTTAATTAATTTAATAATAATATTAATATATTACATTATGTCAAATTAGTAAAATATTTTAATCAAATAAGTAATTGAACATTTTGTTACATGTTAAATCATGTACCAACATAAAAACAAATTTTTGAAATAAACATCATGGCTGAATAATACAATCACCAGTAAACAATAAAATTATTTTCAAAAATTGATAAAATTGCAAGCATAGGCAGGCATAACCTAAAAAAAGCAAGAATATCGAATAACAACATACCGTAAAACTTGTTCGAAAATAAAACATGCTTCACATACATATCTATGTCGAATAATTAACATGTTCACTATGTATGATTTGGTTTTCTATCACAATTATATATATTAATTAACATTTTGTACACCAAACCTTCTGACAATACACAGCGTTCGGTTGTACGAATTCTAACGACATCTATACAACTTTATTCACCATTTCAAATAATTTTTGTAATAATTTATTTTTTTGTATGTTTCTTGTTCTTTTTCTTAACAAAATAATGTTTATTAACTTTTAATACGAAATGGAAAAAAGATAATATGTTATAAAATGTAAAAATTACTATGAAATAGATGAAAATTATAAATATAAAAGGAATGTTAAAATATTTTATTACTCAGGATATGAAAACAATAATTTTATTTTATATGTGTTGTTTATGTATTTTTTTTTACATAATTTTTTAACTACAGACAAGATAGTTATAATGTATTATTATTTACAGTATCCAAATACATATACTTCCTAATACTATTATATTTTAACATATCAACTATTACTTTAAGATTAATTTGTTTTTTGAACTTCATTAGAATATCTGGCATGATTCATCATAGACTCTACTCTATTTGCAGTTTCTCTTACAACATCAGATATTTCGTCTGGTAAATGATCTAAAGTAGGAATGTGTGCAGATAATCTTTTATATACAGAATCTCTATTTCCATCTTTCTTGTGTCTACGTTGTTCTTCATATTTCAACTGTTGTTTAAGAAATATGGCATTCTTGATGAATTCTAAAGTATTTTCAAAACTCTTTCCAGCACCATGCATTGTCTTAATAGCACTTACAGCATATTCTACGTCATAACATCTACCTAATAGTTGTTGTTGGAGAGCAAGCACTTCTACTCGCTTTTCCACCATAGGAGGCAATGCTTTCCTTACATGTTCCTGAAGTCTATAAAATGCAAGAGATGGTTCATTGGCAACTATATGCATATTTTCAGATATACGTTCAGTTGCTAAAACATTAAAATATAAGATATCAATATTAAATAAAATGTATTTGTAACAAAAGGATACAGATTTCTAACCTTTTTTAACCTTCGTTTCTAATTCTTGATCTGATTGATACACTTTTGCAGTCATTACTAAAAATGTTATATTAATAATAGGTTCAATTCTCAAAACATCATAAACATAAATATTATACAAAATTTTGAAATTATATCAATTGATAATGGAAATAATGTTTTTTTAGTTCGTGGTATATTTAAAAAATTTTGCACAATTTTTATATCCTCATTAATATATATAATATATTGTATTATAAATAAATTAATTATGTATTTCTTGTTTATATCAGTGAAGCTGGTATATACTTAAAAAATTATTAATTTGTTTCCAGCGCCATTTTATTAAACACCCGTTACCGGAAGTTAATTGCCAGCAAAACTCTGTTTTCCTTTGACGAAACGTGGCATCAAAGTGTGTTCTGTTGGCACTTCTCTCAAATGTATCTTCCAGCTATTCGTATGGAATAATTGTTTCGTTGTCGTAAGTGACACGAGTTCCATCATATAAAAAGGTGAAAATCGCATAATTCTTATGTTAATTATACAAATAATTGGTGTTCATCAAAATTATGAGATTATTTTAAATGTAATAGAAAATATTAATTGGAAAAATTGTAGGTTTTATTTGAATATTTAACTTTCAAACAATATAGAACTTTAAAAAATTTATGTATTATATTTTTATTTAACTTTATTATAAAGATCAGTACATTTATTATTAAGGTAAAGTAAACTGGAAGAATTGTTATAGTATAAGTTAAATGTGATACATAGTTAACATTTTTATAAATAATGTAATTTCTATTGATATCTCTTTATATTTTGATATTTTAGTATGAAGTGGCATATAATATTTGCAGCGATTGCTGCTTTTCTTTTTACTGCATATGCAGAAGAGGAGGAAGAAGTTGCAAGATTGCTAGTATCTAAACAATTACTTAATAAATATCTTGTAGAAAATATGGACATTGTAATTAAAGTAAGTAATAAAATAATCTGGATATTAGTAATTTATGTTATGTCTTTTTTTAACAAGAAATGTATTATAGTACACAGTTTACAATATTGGCAGTGCAGCTGCATTAGAAGTTGAAATCACAGATAATTCTTTCCATCCTGATCATTTCACTCATGTCAGTGGAGAATTAAATGCAAGAATAGATCGTGTACCACCTTATACAAATGTCAGTCATACAGTTGTTGTAAGGCCACGTAAATTTGGATATTTCAATTTCACATCAGCAGAGGTTTTATACAGACATAAAGAAGATGCTCCTAGTTTACAGTTTGCTGCAAGTAGTGAACCTGGTGAAACAGTAATTGTGTCATTTAGAGATTATGATAAACAATTTTCTTCACATGTGGTAAATCTGCACCAAATATTATTGAAATATATTATATAATACATAGCTATATAATTATGGTGATTATAATAAAATATTAAATATTTCTATTTTAGATTGACTGGGCTGCATTTGCTGTGATGACATTACCTTCATTAGCTATTCCTTTTGCATTATGGTACTCTAGTAAAAGCAAATATGAAAAATTGCTTAAAACTACAAAAAAGCATTAATCGTACATTTATTTTAAGTCATACAAAAGAGATTTTCTCCATACAGTTGTAAGAAGTTTGACTGTCTCATTTTCTGTATATCTAATTTTATAATAAATATTATTTATAAATAATTCATATTTATTCTTCAATTTTTATGCTTAATGTAGATAATTTAATTACATTACTTACATACGTTAACATACTCATTTAGATATATTCATTTATTTAATTTAATAGATATTTAATAGATATCTATTATATTTAATAAATACTAATTATTTATATTTTGTAGAAAAAAATTACACAATGCTTATGACTAATATGTGAAACAAAATGTATCAAAAATCATTTTATTATCAAGTAGGACAAATTATATTTAAACCATATAAAATTTGTAAAACAGTGTAATATGTATTAAGAATATATAAGTTATACACTATACTGCAAACATTGTGATACAAATGAGTAAAATATGATAAACTATTGTTGTTTTTGCAGTGTCACTTAAGATCAAGTAAAAAAGTGTATGACATTATTAGTATAATAGGTTTAAAGAGTACAGCACGCATATAAAGGATCCCCTACACAATGAGATTTGTTTTGAAACATGTCTTACAATTGATGGATTTGATCAATGGGATCAAAGTAAGTATCAGTCTCACTGTTTAAATATTTAGAACATAAGCAGCATATATATATTCAAAGGAGAAATTTGAATGGATTGCTCCCAATGATCAAACCCATCACTTTTTGTGAAACATGTTTTGAAACAAGTTTTATCATGTAAAAGGTCCTTTAAAATTAATCGACCCTAAAGAAGCAAGTAAATATATAATCCAATTCCCGAAACAATAATACAAGATATTTAAGAGGGGATAAGATGTTCAAGAAAATTAGTGTCATGTATCAATTTGGAATGAGTTCTTCCACCTTTGGGTATTACTGACAATAGTTTTAAGTGTTAATGATTTCAATGTTGTCATATTGACATTAATTGAAGACATTGCTCAATACAATTTATAAGGGCCCTGTGTTTTTTAAACCTATTAAACATATAGTAGTACCCGCTTTAGTATCCGAATTTTTTTTTACTCGCTTTAATGTCCATTGTTATTTCTACAAATTCTAGGGATTTCAAAGGGAGGTTAGAACTGTTGATTGAGATAAACTGTTAGATGAAATTTAACACCAATGTTCTTTCATTATTTCGGGTATTCATATGGATTTCTTCTCCTTTCTTTAATTAAATTGGAAAAGGTCAACTTTCCTGATAAGCGTTCGGATTTGGTCCCGATTACGGACACTAATGTGGGCATTGCTATATATAAATTATCAATTGCATGACTAGGAACCACACACCTTAAATGTCAAATAATTCATGTTTGAAATACAGCTGCATGGAACTACTGTGGGAATTCTAAAATTACATTACTTAAATTTTATATTACAGAATGTACACAATGCCTTATAGCTATCACTTACTATTAATACGCAATTCAATATCATGACTGTAAAGAATAATTCATTTTCTAATACAAATGAATTTGTGACAATATAAAGCACCAATTTGATAATCGAATATTTCTGTATAAATAAGTATAATTAACATGTATAGCTTCATTATAGGTACAATGTATTTGTACATTGAAATTATTAGTTTTTACTATATCTTATTAAGTATTCAATGACCTATTTCGTTTACTTGTTGAAGGGAGACCACGAGGATCACCATAAACCGGATCAAATGCAAAAAATGGTCTTATTGGAGTAATTGGACCCTGTGGACTTCGTATAGTTGTATTATTTAATGTAGGTGAACATGGACTACTAGTCTTTTTTAATTGTGGTGGACATTTATCATCTATAAAAAATAAATTTCGGTTAAGCACTATACAGTATAAATATAAACAAAAATTATATTGTTGAAATAATATACATACTGAAAACGGATCTATTCTTTATGTTTAAATCAATATTTGCTATTTTATTTTTCCATACTGCAAAATAAAATAGATAAAATGTTAAGAAAATATTCATGCAATGTAAAAAACAATAAGAAATCATTTCTAATTAATAAAAACTCACTATAGAAGAAAGTAATTACAAGAACAGCAAATGTTCCAAATGTATAACGATGGAAATATATATAGTCTACCCAATGAATTCCAGACAATGGTATAAAATTTTCATATTTTGTTATATGTACGAAGAGCTATAGAAAAAAGTTTAATTATTAATTACAATAAATTATAAAGTTTGATATTTATGTTTTGTTTACTTACAGATATATTTTGTTTTGTAATATCATTTGCAATAATAACTTTTTGACCTTGGATTTCTTCTTGATTATGCATTAAACGAAGTTTATATTGCATTGCATATTTTGAAATGTATTGACGAGCGCTTACAGTAATACCATCTGGTACATCAATCTATAGAAAATTAATATGAATAAACATATTTTTAAATTTACTTCTATTTCACTACAAAATTAATCTTACAGTAAGATGATCTAATACAGATTGCAAACCATATATCTCAAGTGTTGCAGTTGGTATGGTTTGTGAATGAGTATTGATAAAAACAATCTCTTTGACATCAACATAAACAGGAGGCAAATACGTAACTTCTAAAGGTATAGCCTCAATATCCTTACTTTGAGCACTTATTTGAATACGGCTTTCTAATGTACTAGAAATTATATTTGGTGAACCCATTGGAATTATATCACAATAATAGAAACCTACAATAAACAATATAAAAATAGTTGAATAATAATGAACACCATTATATCATAAGATTAAATTAAACATACCAGTTGTAATATCAAATCGCGGTTTAACAAGAAACAAATCTTTTACTCCAACAGATGAGGTCGATGAAACGAATTGTATATTACAAGTATAAGGAAATGAATTTAATGTAAATGAACTGAATGTTCTACAGCCACCTAATCCTCTAGATAGAACATTATTTTCTTTAACTTGTTCATCTTTACTTTTAAGTACGAGAGGAACGCTAAATGTTTCAGTTCCGGTAATATTTCGGCCCCTTAATGGAACAATTGATACCTGCATTTACAAGATAATGCTGTATAGCTTGAGAAACATTAATTTATAATTTCAGATAGCTCACTGAATGCAGTACCTTTGCAATAGATTGTATATTAACTTCTATTTCACCTTGCATATGAGTTGCAAGACTATGTTTTACTACTGCATAACCGACATTTTTTGCTCGACCTATTCCTGTAATAGGATCTACAGTTAATACTTCAGGAGCAGAAGATTGCCAATAACCAGGATCACCATCAGGAGATAGAAGTGGCATTGAAAAACAGACTATATCACCCACTGTTAAGGTAGTCTATAATACATTGTAAATATCAATGATATACGATGTATAAAATATTATTATTTGACATTAATAAACGTGTAAATTACCTTTGTAGGAAAAACTATATCACCAATCATCATATGTACATAATCAAATATTGCATTAGGATATCTTTCATTGTATGCTTTTACAACAAGATCTCCATTTTCAACAAATTTTGCAGTAACTACATTTTCAGAACTCTTAACAAATGATGCGAGATCGGCCCGATTTAGAATAGTTTTAGCATCAATCTCAGCAGCATGAAACTTTGTTCCAACATTATCATAATATTCAAGAATGTAATCCAATTCCATACCTTTAGGTAACATATTTAATTCTTCTCCATTTCGAATTCGTAAGATTGATTTCAAAGATAACATCATATAATGAATTGGTTTGACCTATGAATAAAAGGATTAAAATACAAATTTCTAAAACTTCCAATGAAATTCACATTTCAATAATATAATATAAAACTTACTTCAACAATAATAGTTAGTGATTGTTTCAAATTATATGCTTCTGTATTTGTAATAGAAATAATTATTTTTCCAAAATGTTCACCAGCTTTTATTATGCCATTTTTATCAATGGTAACAGTTTTAGATGCTGGTGTTAAAGCATGTGAATCCACTGAATCATTGCCATGTACAGTTGATAATACTTTATAAGTAGTTGAACCATGTTTGTCACGATTTGTTTGTAATTTTAAAACAGAATTTGGGGACATTAATATCACTGGTGCCTTAAATGGTAATCCCAAATGCATTAAACGTAGATCCTCGAAAATTTCAATTTTTACAAATGTAGTGTATGTTACATCACTTTTAAAACCAGCTAACATATTAGATGGCATTGTAATGTTTAGATAAATAGTTGCTAATCCAGCACCAATTGCTTTAGCTCTTAAAGACACTTCATTTTGATATCTAATGTTAATGCCAGTATTTTCATACATATTATGCAAGGTTACCAAACTAGAATCACTAGATGACCACATAAAAATTAACGGTAATTGCATAGAACCTATAATAAGAGGAGTCAAATGTTCTGGAATACCAAATGCCCAAAGTGGAAACGTTGCACCTACTTTTACTCTACTTGTTGGCACAACAATTTTAATTCCTTCAAGATACAATATGTGTATATCTGCATGGTCCTCAGAATGAATAACTTTGTTTCCCTTAGCATTAAGACCAATTGCCCTAACAATAATTTTTGTTTGTCCAACTGATTTTCCTTCAAATATACCATTGTGATCTATTTCTAAAATATCATTGTTTTGTGTAGAAAATTCAATTTCTGCATTTGATGGACCTCCTGTTGTTTGTACTTGATAAAGTGTTCCTACTAGTATTGTTAAATTTTTTGGTGAAATCTTTAAAGGAAGAAAAATTTGGATAGTTGCTGATTCACTCTGTATCTCTCTTTCACCTCCTTTATTGATAAAAGTTAATTGTGATTCTCCTTCTGCCATTCCATATATCATATAAAATAATTGATTATAAGGAGGATTACCATGTTCACTAGCAGGTAATTGTTTAACTTCTATACATCCATTATCGATTTCTGCTTTAAATTCTAAAGCATTTAAAGATGGTAATTTTATAATATGACCATTTGTATCATAAAGTTTCAATGTAGCTACTATACATTTTCCCTTTTCAATTTTATTCACTGTTTCTATTTCTATTACAGCAAGTTGTTGTATTTCAATTATAGCTTCAGCTGGTTTTGAAAGCAAGCAGAGATCTACTAAAGATAAATGAAGTACACCTGACTTTTTTGGTATAAAACTAATTGCTTTTGTTGATTCTATATAACGAACATCTGCAATATCATCAGCATTCAATACAAATTCATAATATCCAGAACCCTGACTCACTTGTAAATAATATTTTGCAGTGGGATCATTTAATACCATTAATTTATCAGGAGTAATACTTGTATCATTGACTAAGACTATTTCTATTGATGCTTCTATAAGAGGAGTTTCATAAATTTTTCTTTCAGTTTCAATTGCAAAAGGTGGCCATTCTGGTATTATTTTTAATTTACTTAATATATATTTTTGATAACCTGTAACTGTAGCTGTTAATGTAAGAGCACCAGAATGTTTTTTAAAAATGATATTTTGATAGTAATTTTTTGGTAAAATTACATTCATATCCGTAACTGTTTCTTCTATACAACCAGAAGACATTTCTACAAAACCTATACTTGTGGGTTTTAAATTCCAATCAATGTGTAAACTTGTAATATTATCGAATGTTCTATGTTCTTCGTCTTTTACTATCGTAATAAGCTTTAAATTCTTATCGCTATGAGCCATAATTCGTTCTGTATTGAGGTTAATAGGACAATTCTTACTATCTTTGAATTCAGGTTGGAGATAAATATGTCTGGGTTTACCACAAATAATTTTTACAGTTTCAGATGCATATGTACTCTTACAATTTGGTAGTAAAGGGATATTTGAAATGATATATGTGACATCCACCTCTCCAAGGGCACGGCACATTACTTCAAAAACTGATAATTCATATAATCCAGCTGGTGAATCTGCATGTTCTATTATTTCAACAATCTTTTTTTCAGATGCCTGGATTTTTCGTGAATAACTTTGAGGCTTATTAGACCATGGAAGGGGCCCACCTTTAAAAACTATTTTCCTTGATGAACCCACAGTTAATAAACTTTCTTTATTACTGGGATGTACTGCTATCAGAGGTTCATAGGCAGATACAGTAATGTTATCAGTTAAATACTGACCATTAGCATTATATACTACTGTTATTTCAGATGTTCCAATATCTATATTAGTAACTGCTATAACAGCACATGCAATTCCTACAGGTTCTACGATTTTACTATCATTTTGTATAAAATTACCATCTGGAATGTACATTTCGAAATTAATGTCTCTACAGTCGTTAAAAGGAATTTCTTTGGAATCTGTTCCATTAATTAATTTTCCATATAATGCAATATGAAGATATATCAGTTCCCCTTTAGCAGCTTCCATACTGTATTCAATTACTTTTAATTTGGAAGGGGGTAATACATACACCTTTGCTGTATCTCTATTATATTGATTTCTGGTCATAGCAACATTTATTTCTGTTGCTCCTGTTGCTAAAATCCTCATTCCTCCATTCTGAGAAACTGTTGCTATGGAGGGATGTTTGCTTGACCATACATATGATCCATCACCTCCATTCGCTTTCAACACTAAATCATACCTAAAACAATGGAACAAAGTTTTAAAAAATTATTGATAATACACCATAATTAGAGAAAAGCAATATAGCATAAATATTTACCTTGATTTAGCTTTAAAATCCCATGGAATAGCTAGTACTTTAGGTTGTATAGTAACTGGAGTATGAATCAAAAGTTCAGCTTTTGTAGTAGGATGTGAAGTAAGAGAGACCTTTTTACCATGCTTATCAATAATGCCATAAAGAGTAGCTTCAATAGTCATTGTTCCACATGTAACAGGTGTGCCAACAATATATGTGCCATTTTGAGTTATCAATTTTGGTTCAAAATAGTGTTCATCTAATTTTACTGATACTTCAACACCTTCTCCAATGTGGAATCTATGAGCTTTGTTATCATATAATTCAACTACAATTTCGTGAGTATGACCAAGTATTAAACCCCAATTTCTATTAGGTAAAACGGCGATAGCTACATATGCTACATCATTCACATTAACTGTAGCAGATGGTAAAATAACAGGATATTCGTCGCGAACATTTTTGTCATGTAAAAATACTTTGGTACGTCCTAAAGATTTAGCATATGCAAAATCACGATCGTCATCAATTTGTAATATGTTAGGATTTTCTGCTTCTAGATAATATTGGCTAAATGGTAAATTTATTTCTTCTAAACGACCTTGCTGAGCCTATTAATATATTAATAATTCAATTAACATAAGTATTTGAATTTATTATAACTAATAATATACTTACTTGCATTATTTTAAACTTAAAGCTGTCATATACCATAACTGTTATATCTGATGGAATGATAATTAAATTGGCTATTACAATTAATTCAACTTCTATTGGTGGAACATGTTTATACTCTGGATAAGGTAATTTTACAGAAACCTGTAATGAAACATATTTTTTTCTTTCTTTTTTGTAAAATTACAGCATTTAAAAGATCTAATAATATGCACATTTATGTCAAATTTATTGATACCTTTGCTGTACCAGTTTTTACTCCTTCTAGTAGTACAATATGCCCCTTTTTACCAATTGTATCTAATGCAGCAACTGTTGATGGAGTTTCATATTGTGATTCTTCATAGGTCATAAATCTCAAAACATCATTTGGTACCTTAGTATTTGATGTATACTTATCAGCATTATCTATACTCCAAAGAAATTCTACTCCAGCAAGAGTTGTAAATTCATTTCCTATAAAAGCAAATTATTACAATTTAAGCAAATTTTAAAAACTTATTCAATCTTTAAGATTTTAATGATTTGAAAACAAATTTTAAAGCTCTTAAATAATATATAAAATAATATATATAAATTTTTACCTTGTTCATCATATGCTCGTACTTCAAATGCTTCTGGTGCTTCTTCTATATATAATTCTCTTGTAGTTGTTACGAGATTTAAAGAAAAAATCGCATCAACTATAACATCACATCTTAAAAATTGTCCATTATTAACATCTTCTGCTAAGACTATTGCAGTATTTCTAGTAGATTCTCTTGTAATTGTTTGAATTAATATAGCAGAAGAACAAGTTCTTTCAACATTTTCATTAATAGGAATTAGTTGAATAATATCTAATCGTGATGTTGACCTATTGTTAAATAAATTTTTAATTTTAAATATAATACTATAAAAGAATTATAATATAATATAATATTAAATTTAAGTTAATAAAAATTGAAAATTTTTATTTTAATAATAAATATATTTTACGATGAAAATTATAAATAAATAAAGAATAAAACAATAGATTTACGTTGTAAAAAATAATAATTACCATTGATAACAAGCACCATCCGTAACTTCAAGTGTAAAATTTACAGCAAAATCATTAAATACTGGTAATAGAACTCGTGGAATATTTAGCCTGTGTACTGAAGCGTCTGATATCACACAACATAAAATAAAAAATACTGTCGAAAACATTATTTTTAATGATACTACATATCCAACCACAATTTCTTCACGTGTATTCATGATAATCTGCTGAACTTGGCGGTCTCTAAATAGCTTTCAAACCAGAATATTTCTACTATTTCGATTAGTATTCTTCGATATTTATCGATACTTTTCGATACTTTTAGTCAATATTTGAATTGTAAACTTTGATATTTAAAGCAAGAAAAAGAACAAAGTTTCTTATGCTTTTAATATTTCGTATTTATTCATTACGGTTTCAAGAAAAATACTATTTATTTAATTTATGAAAATAATGATAAATATTTAGGGAAAGTTAAAACATTCAAGTTTTAAGGATAGAGCCAATCAAAAAGATTATAGTGCAGCTGCAACATTCATGAAAATACCGCTTGAGTAAAACTGTTGATTTTCTATTTGCCACTTAGTCTTGTTATTTGCCAAAAAATACAAGCTGTTGATGTCTCATTTATTTGATAAGATATTTTGCATAACATTATATACGTTAATTAACAGTCAATATGTTCTAAAGCTTATTCTGTGAGCAATTACTAGTTGATTACTTTGCACTTTTTAACTACTGTAGAATAAGATATACAATATCGATAGATCAACCCGCGTTAGGATAACTTTAAAAATATTATTTTGGGTATGTTGAGTTTATCTTAAGAATAATTAATTTCGAAAGTGAGATTTGCTTGTGAGAATGGCCGATGAAATAGAAGCTGTTCGACTTGCCAACGACGATATTGAATGTATGGACGGCGAAATAGATGCTGATGATGTAGATGAAGAAGGTTCAGATGGGGTTGTAGTTCCAGAACTTCAGGGTACATTATCCAAATGGACAAATTATATACATGGCTGGCAAACTAGATTTATTGTTCTCAAAGATGGTACTTTATCTTATTACAAATCCGAGCAGGACAGTGGATTTGGATGTCGAGGTTCGATAAGCTTGTATAAAGCTAATATTAAGGTATAAATTGCTGCATAGCAATCAATTTTATATAAATTTATATTTTTGATCAAATTAATGAAAACTGATGATATTACTCTATATTATTTGTTTTATTAGGCTCATGAATTTGATGGATGTAGATTTGATGTATCTGTTAATGACTGCTTAGTATGGTATTTAAGAGCAAATACTCCTGAAGAGAAACAGCGTTGGGTAGATGTTTTAAAATCCTACAAGGTATAGAAATTTTATTATATGCATTAAATATTATATTATTTAAATATATATAAATTTAACAAATGTTCCTTTAGTCCATCAAAATGTATATATGTTTGTTCTAAATAGTCAGAATCTGGGTATGGAAGTGAAAATAGTTTGAAGCGACATGGTAGTGCCATTTCACTTGTATCAAATACACAATCTATTACAAGTGCAGGTAGTTTTACCAAACGTGGAGTTCGAGGACTAAAAGAGAAATTAGCAGAACTTGAAACCTTTAGAGATATTCTTATCAAACAAATTGATACTTTACAGAAATATTTTGACAATTGTGCAGAGAATGCTAAAAATATTTCCTCGAAAGGTACAAAAAATAATTTATGTTTATATGTATTCATTTGTTTCATATTCAATTATTTCACTTTTTTTTTTTTTTTTTTTTTTTTTTTTTTTTTTTTTTTTTTTTTTTTTTTTTTTTTTTTTTTTTTTTTGACATTTTAAACAACTGTTTTCTTCGTTTTTGTTTGGTTTTTACTTTTAACTGAATGAAAAATATTTGTTTTAGAAAATAAAGTTGAGACCATGTTTAACCCAGCTGAACAATCTGTGGATTTTAAGGGTGAAGCAATAACATTTAAAGCAACAAGTGAAGGTGTATTAGCAACATTACAACATTGTGTTGAATTAATGGTACAACGAGAAGATGCATGGCGTCGTAGATGGGAAAAAGAAGTTGAGAGAAAAAAAAAAGTACAAGAACTTTACAAAACTTTGAAAGAACAAGTTACAATGCAACAAGGTGATTCTCCCAGACCTAGAGTTCTTATTCATGGAGGTCCAGATTATGAGGTTGGTTTATATAAATTAATATAATATCTTAAAAATGGCATAACATAAGTAAACAAAAGTTTTAATGTTTAAGGAAGGTCCACATAGTGCTCTCTGTGATGAAGAATTCTATGATGCAGTGGAAACTGGATTAGATAAAATTGATGAAGAAAATCAGCTGAGAGATCGTTTGAAACAAAAATCAGTTTCAGTTTTAACTACTCCTACCATGTCAGCAGTTAAGCACAGACTTTGGCCAGAGGTAACTATTTATTTTTAAAACTTGTTATGCATATCTTAGAATGTTTTAATACTTTATTTATTATAATTGTCTTTAGATAGAAAAAATAACAATGGAACAATTACATTACGCGCGTCTTGGAGTAGGAGCTGGTGGATGGCAATTATTTGCTGAAGATGGTGATATGCGAATGTATAGACGCGAAGAAGAAGCAGATGGTTTAGTGGTTGATCCTTTGAAAGCTTGCCATGTTGTAAAAGGGGTTACAGGTCATGAAGTTTGCAAAATATTCTTTAGCCCTGAATACAGAACAGGGTGGGAAGCTACTCTCGAAGATATGACTGTAGTTGAAAATGTTTCCAAAGACACTTTAATATTTCTGCAAACGCATAAGCGAATTTGGCCTGCGAGTCAAAGAGACGCATTATTTTGGTCGCATATGCGCAGAGTTTCTGATGATCAAGATCTGGATGCACACGATTTATGGATAGTTTGTAATCATAGTACAGAACATCCTAATCATCCAGTAAGGTTTTATACAATTTTATTAATTTTATACATACATACATATATACACATTAAAATATTTACAGCCAAACACTGGGAAATGCGTAAGGGTTTATCTAACTGTTTGCCTTGTATGTCAAACTTTCATCGATCCTCCGAAAGACGAAGATGAAATAAAAAGAGAAAATATAACTTGCAAAATAACTTATTGTTCAGTTGGTTAGTATTATGTAATTTTGTTTTATTAATATGATAATATATCTATTGTCTTATATTTTTTTCTTTTTAATATAGTTAATCCTGGTGGATGGGCTCCAGCGGCTGTTTTACGTGCTATTTATAAAAAGGAGTATCCAAAGTTCCTTAAACGTTTCACTAGCTTTTGTATTGACCAGTGTAAGGATAAACCAATTATATTCTAAGAATAATTGATAGAACTTTCATATTTTCCATCCAATTTTTCATTTATTACATCAAAACATTTCCATGCTGTTGATGGACTAATGTATCAAAGGAGAAATCAGATGCTAAAAGATAAATATACATATGAAACGTAATATATTATATATATTATATATTATAATATATATGTATATATACATAGCTTAGTAAAACAGAATACAAACTGTTACATTGAAAGTGATTTATTAAAGCATAAAAAGGTATTATATACACTTCCAAGATAACTTTATAATGTGGGACGCATGCGCTAAAGCACTGTTTGTAAATTATATCTACTTCTTTAAATAACAGCTTGTTACTTTATTGTTATACAGAATGCTGTCGCAAGTCACTTGTACAAATCTTAACAAATTGATTACATACACATTTATCTATTGTTACATTATATATCCAATTAAATATGAAATTGTATGATATAAATTATATTGTTATTTTTATTTATACATAAAATGTGTACATTAATACACAGTATAAAGGTCAAATGGGGAAACATAATAAAGACTGTTGTAGATTTGCTGTAATTGTTTTGCATCTGTTACTTCAAATTAAATCCTGATCATTGTCAAGACATTAGAAGTGAAAATGATCCATTTCTGATTAAATACTTTTATTTTTACAAGTTAAAAATGCTTATTGACTGAATAGTTATGGCAAATATGTACAGGGTTTATAAATTAATTAACGAATTTTCATAAGAAATAAATTTATTTCTACAAATTATTCAACTAAAATTAAAAGAAAATTATATATATATATATATAAGTATATATGTTTATATATACACTTGCTCACGATATATGATATAGTATATATATATACATATATATGTTTACATTATAAAAAATACTTTTACTTCGTATCCTCTAGATTCAGTACATTGAAATCTGAATTTTGTTTCAGTAACTTCAGTTTAAAAATATCAAAGAAGGATACAGAAGTATAAAAATGCTTCTCTGTCTTACAAACTATTGTGAATTACAATAATGGCTAAAATTGTGAATATATTATTTATCTAAAATTCAGTTTATAAACATAATTTTTTATACATGTTATGCAAAGAGATATATTTTAAATTTAAAAAGTTCTGAAACAAGAATTGTAGTTACATATAACCGTTTCTTGTCAATTATCTTGACATAAAATTGAATATTATTGTATATTTACAAATTTAATCATTTAATTTTAGCCATTATATTAACAAATTTTGTGTCATTATACATATTTAGATTCAACTTCATAAAATAATCGTAAACTGAAAAAAATATACATGCAATTACTTGCAATTCATAGTGTATATCTATTGACAAAAATTGTATCTTAACTAAACAAAAGTATCAATAGTAATTGCTATATTCTTTACAATGTATATCATCCGCAAATATGCTATATGCATTATGGCAATTATACACATATGGAGTACACAATACCCCAAAAAGTTGTTGTTGGTTACTCCATAAAATTCAAATTAATTTATATCAAATTTAATTAAGACCAAGTTTAATGACATTTTAAACCCAATACAATCATATGTTAATGTATTTAAATAAAACTAATTCTAATTTAAAAACTTAATATTTTTTTTAAACTTATATACCGCATTATATGCTTCTTCAATTATATTTGTTACCTGTATAAATTTGAAACAATTTGGTAAAAATCAATCGTGAATGTAAAATATAAAAACTTTGCACTTTAAAACGATTTCAAATGTAAAAAAATGTATATTTCTGTTCTACATTTCAATATCTATTTTCCTTATGATTCATACGAACCTAATTTTTTTAATACACTAAGACCTTTTTCTTCATATTCTTCTCTTGTTATCCACACTGATTCACGATCCTTTGTAATTTCTGCTAATACAGCACCTCCCATGAAAACCATATCTTTACGTCTTGGGGAATCTTCAATTTTTATTTTAAATTTCTAAGAAAATATAGAAAGGTGAAAAAGTGTTATTTAAGTAATTATGAAAAAATATGTAATATTTCATAATTACATTTAACTTTGAAGTATCATTCTTTAATACTCTCTGAAAGTAAAGTTGCTTAATTTCTCTTTCAAGTCTAGATGGAAGTCCAGGATACATTGTGCTGCCACCACTTAAAACAATATGTTTATATAATTCACTTCTTATATCAATATCAGCTGCTTGAATGGTACTAAATACTAATTCAGCAATTCCTTGAGCTTCAACATTTATTAAATGAGGTTGGAATAAAGCTTCTGGTGCAGCAAATCTCTCACCACCTACTTTTATTACCCTTCCATCAGGAAGCTAAAATGTTTCCAAATTATTTACTGAAACATATTCTTAAATTTTATAAATTATATATATATACATATATATATTATAAAATTTCACTTACAGTATATGATTCAACTAAGACAGTGGTTTCAAGAGCTAATTTTTCTTCAGTTTCAATATTATAACCAATATAGCATAATTTTTCTTTTAACATTCTAACTGTTTCAAAATCAGCAGAATGGTTAAATGCATAACCACGTAGTAAAAGAAGTTTTATTAAATACATTGTAATATCTCGACCAGCTATATCTAGCCGCCGAGTAAGATGTGATAAAGCATACTCTTCAAATACTGGACAAATATGAGTAACTCCATCACCAGAATCTACTACAACACCGCTAATCAGCCCTTGAGCATATAATGTAAGTACTGCTTGAATTGCAATGTATGTTCCAGCAAAACCATATTTTTCAAACATTACCTAAAATAGTTCAATTATTAAAAAAATTGAAAAAAAAAGACCAATTTAACTATAAATAATTTATAACTATAGTTTCATATTACCTCAATCATTTTTTCACGATTTGTGATAGGATTCATTGGTGGTTCGGTTAATAAAATTTTACACTCTCTAGGATTGATATTCATTTTCTCCTTGCCAAACGTGTAATCCCAAACATGACACATGTCTTCCCAATTTCTGTTAGGAATTTTAATAATGAAATATTTCATAATTCATATAGATGAATACACTCATATACACACCTAACAATTCCATTTTGCATTGGATAACTAATCTCTAGCATAGAACGAAGTTTACTTGCTTCATCCCCAACCATTAAATCCTATTATAATAAAATACAATAAAGTAAGTTTGATTATATATGTTATTATCATAAGATATACATGTTAATAGAAATTGTTAATAATTCAATAACTTAACACACTCTAATTTTTCATGGAATAATTGAGGATAGAATTAGGTGTAAGTTTTTTAAAATTTTATATCATTATTAACAAAAATTTATTTCTGATAACATTACCTTTTCTTTTTCATAGTTTATAATGCCACCAAATAACATAAAATTAATTACTGTAATACATATAAATAAGAATAGAAGAAAATAAAATACTAAAATACTAAATCTTAGAAACAAGTATTGAATACAAATGAAAACTATAGCAATAAAAGTATTAAATTTTTTAAATACTGATATAATATTGCTAAATGTAAATATGAACATTAAAAAATGCAATGAACTTACAGGCATGTTAAGCACATCCTATGAGAGCAAATGTAAGGACATAAATATATTAAACAATGTTCAAAAGTAACGTATATAAAATCTCATACATATAAATATAAAAGTAACTTCTACAAATATCCTCTTTTTATTATATTTTATTCCTAACATTAATTAAATAATAATGAGTAGAAAAACATTTATTTGGTAATGATGAATATATTATAAAAAAGAATGCATAATTAACTAAATTTATCATAAGTCATTGAAATAAATAAATATAATTTTATAATTGTCAATTATTAATTACGCTTTTAACAAAGATATAATATATTTCAATAATCTTAAAAATACTATCTTACTTTTAATATGTACAATCCATTTTAGCACTGGTTAGTAAACAAGGTTAATAAATGACAAATGCATTTTCAATTAGATTTAAACTCTGGGGCACACAGTGTAATATTATGAAGTGACTTACACGAATACAATACTCTTGCTGAAAATTAAGTAAATTTATTAATAAACTGCTTATGAGTGTTTAAATCTTTTTCAAATAAAAGAAATAAATTTTAAAATATAAAAATTCATATCCAATTCAGTTTTTAACGTTTTTAATATAAAATAAAGAAAGAATTTCCTAACATTAATTAAATAATAATGAGTAGAAAAACATTTATTTGGTAATGATGAATATATTATAAAAAAGAATGCATAATTAACTAAATTTATCATAAGTCATTGAAATAAATAAATATAATTTTATAATTGTCAATTATTAATTACGCTTTTAACAAAGATATAATATATTTCAATAATCTTAAAAATACTATCTTACTTTTAATATGTACAATCCATTTTAGCACTGGTTAGTAAACAAGGTTAATAAATGACAAATGCATTTTCAATTAGATTTAAACTCTGGGGCACACAGTGTAATATTATGAAGTGACTTACACGAATACAATACTCTTGCTGAAAATTAAGTAAATTTATTAATAAACTGCTTATGAGTGTTTAAATCTTTTTCAAATAAAAGAAATAAATTTTAAAATATAAAAATTCATATCCAATTCAGTTTTTAACGTTTTTAATATAATATAAAGAAAGAATATTTATTTTATTTAAAAAAAATAAATAGTATAATTTTTATAAAATGCAAAAACTTTATACTAAATATAAAGCAACAAATATTATTCATAAATAATATTAATAACTTCTTTTTTAATTAATTAATTGAAGATGTAACAACGATTCCAATTGATTTGTTATAATTGTAAAATTACAAAAGATACCTTTATGTCAATGTCCCCTATTTTATTGACAGCTCTGATAATAGGACGTCCAACTATAGATGGAAATATGTGTGCTGGGAAATTTGCTCCTGCATATCCACATTTTACAAACTGCAAAAGTATAATGTTATCTTATTGGCGTCAAAAATAAAATTTTACAAAATGTGTTTAAAACATTTTGTAATAAAAATTAGGATATAAGAATAAAACCATAACCTTACCCCTGTTCCATTATCGCAAACAATAATCTTTCTGCCTTTGCTATCCATTTTTTGACACGATTTTATTATTTAAACAGACTTTATATTTTTTATGTTAAAGCGTAGTAATCATTGCACACTTCACGAAATGACTAATTATTATAAGATCTAGGGCGTTACCGGCATGACGGTTTATAAGCAATAACGACCGTTGTACAACCACTACAACTCACATTAAAACAATAAATATTTACTTTTTTCTTGAAAAAAATCAAAAGTTGCAAATTATATATATTTTTTTTTAATACATATCACATACACCATCTAGCAAGCGAGCTGATAATACAACACACTCTCTTTGATCTAAATTCTCGCCGCAAACGGACACATAGTTTAAGTCTGATATACAATTATTATACTCGGATTGGTTCAATAGTATCTGAGCAAGGTGTTATCTACGTCTGTTATTTGCTTTGCCAAATAAAATATTTCTGTTCAAATATTCTGACTGTATTCAAATTATGATTAAATATAATATCTTAATATAATAGATTAATTATTACACAAATCACATAATAATATTCACAAAATATTTTACAATAAGCAGTTTTTTATAAAAAGTGCTCTGTAACCAAAAAAATTTGTATTATTCTTGATCAATCTTTTTTATAATCACTTTTTTTGCTTAATTATTTTTTTATTAATTAGTAACATTATAAAAAGTTACATTTCATAATTCTTTCATACACGATGGATCTTCCAATTGCTTATTTAACACGAAAAGAAGTAATATCCAGCTGTCACCGTTTACATAAGTATCGTATCATTTATTTTTATATAAAATTCTTTTATTTAACGAAAACAATTATTTTGCAGTGAAAATTTAACTGAAGAAGAAAATAAAAATATATATGGAAAATGTAACAATTATTGGGGTCATGGTCATAATTACACAGGTAATTATTATTACTATATTCATATCTATAAGTTTATATTGCATTTTTTTTTATTTTAGTTGAAGTGACTGTATGTGGACCAATAGACTGTGTAACAGGTATGGTCATGAATATATCAGATTTAAAATTATACATGAAACAAGTGTTAATGGATCAATTGGATCATAAAAATTTGGATAAGGATGTACCTTATTTTAAAAATATTGTTTCCACTACGGAAAACGTAGCTATCTATGTTTTTAATGAACTAAAAAGGATTATGCCAAATCCAGAGCTTTTATATGAAGTTAAAATCTATGAAACTGATAAAAATATTGTTATCTACAGAGGAGAAAAAAAAACAAAATGTTAAATTTGCTGACATTTTGAACACCAAAAGTTTAAATGTTATACTCTATAAATATGTTATTAACTTAAAAAAAGATTACACCTGATACTTAACCAATATTATAGAAAATAAATATAAAAATATATTAATTCGGTTGGTATAAGGTTATGAAGAAGGAACTACATTAATATTACATTTACTCTTTTTTTCAGTATACAAATATTTTACAATATTGATTCACACTTCAAAAGAATAAATATATGCTTCTATCTTAATATTGCACCTCTAAAGATGTTTTACTAATTTATTAATAACACATATTTGTACAAAAAGTAATAACTAGAATAATATCACAAATTAAAATAAAGAATCCATCTTCTAAGTAAGATAGATAAACATAAAGTATATGTTTTTTTTATAAAAAGATTCGTACAAAGTTAATTTTTTAAATAAATAAAATAAATAGTATACTGTATTTTAAATTACTGATTACTATTTAATAAATGCTAAACAGTCCTTATAATATTTATGTTAATAATTATATATTTGTATTAATATCAAGTTTAATGTAACTTCTGATAGTTACATATGGTATACCAAGTTCAAAGTCATCCTTTGGCCAATACTTTAGTACTGGTGATTGCTGTGGCTTTTCTTCTTTTACAGAAAAATATGCAAAAAGTACAGCTGCTGTGTAGCTTGCAATAAAAATAAATAAATGCCAGAGTGCATGTAAATAAGGGAAATTCAGGTTCAACCAAGTATCACAAAATAAACGATCATTCAGCCAACAAGCAACTGCTAATAACCATACAGCACCACATCGTAAACCCAATCTATAAACCCTCATTGATTTTGTCCTTAAGAAAAGCATGCACAATGATGTAATTACAAATTACATCATAAAGTGTTAAATAGACATTGATTAAAAATTTTACCTTTTTAATTCGATAATCATAAACCCAAATGCAGGTATACCAAGACTCATTAAAGCAAATGCATTTATTGCAGGATGTATAAATGACAAACCAGTTGCAATTAAAGTTGGTAAAGTTGCACATATGGCAAGAATTTTTCTATTATTGTGTAAAATACTTGGAAAATATCTTCTTGGCAAAAACATACAAAAACCAGCCATATATACCCATAAAATTGCCAATTCATCTAATAATTGTCCTATGATCAAATAAATAATTTTGGCATTTACTTAAGTTTGATAAATCTATGATATTTTGTTACTTACCTATTAGGGATAAAGTAGCATGAAAATATGCACTACTGAGACCTACTATCATTAATAAGAACCAAATTATATGAATTCCCGGATTTACAAATCGACCATAATCTCTAAAAAGGTGCATAAGAACAGGAGGAAGTAACAAAAATACTACATTACTCAGCTGTGAATAAAAATACAATGATCATTTTGTTAATATATTAATTTAATGTTTCAGAAATATACAAGCTCTACAATAAAAAAAAAAAAAAAGAAAAAAAGAAAAGTGGATACTGTTTTCACTGTAGTAAAATACAAACCGTATTCATAAATTCTGCGATACTAGAAGAAATGTTATAATTGCGCTCGCACCAGTCAACTGGTGAACTACCAGCTTCAAATGGTTTCCACATATCGAAATATTTAATTTTACTTAATTTCTATCAATATAAAAATTTACAAACGTAAAATCTTTAACCTGTAAGCTGTATAAAATATTTATAATTATGACAACATAGAAATTGATTATTAAATTATGTAAAATATACAAAAAAATATGGAAACCAAAAAGAAACGATTACAGAATCTTTATACCTTTCGTATTAGTAGCTCATATTATTCTCATTCAATAGTACTTTTATACGCATTAACAACTGTTATTACATGGACAAAACATAATAAATATTTATTACAACTGATTGCATAAAGAATGCTTGAAAAACATACTAGCACGATTAATAAACATCTTGTTTGTATTTATATAAAAATCTGGAAACGTAATGTGATCATAGACTACGAATATAATAGTTAAAAACTGTAAATGTATATGTTGATAGGATAATACATAATATCAATAGTTTTCAAAAATTAATTTATAAGAGAAGATTTTTATAGTTTCTTTTGTATGTTAGAAACAACAGAAAATATGTAAGCTTAAAAATTATTGAATTACTTTTGAATTTCATATATAGTGAATTTTTACGTATTTATCATTTCTTTTGTAAAGATTGGTACTACTTATATAGTTTGTATCACTACATGCTATATGCGTAGAATTCCACGTGTACAGTGTAAATTGACAATGTTTAAAAATGTTAACAATTGATACTTGTGATGTAAAATTAAAAAATGTATTTGTTTATTGTAAATAATTTCTTAAATACATTAACGTTATATCAATGTTCATATAGAAAATAGAGTATTGACTTTTTTTTACGTATGTCAACCTCAATCATGAGTTTTTACATATACGAATCAGACATTATTGTGTGTTGTAATGAACAAATTGTAATATATAATATTGAAAATGGTATTGAAACAATGATTTCTTTACCTAAATTGCAAACTGACAAGAAGATTAATATGCATAATAATATAAACATCGAAACTTTTCACATAATTACAAATGTAATGTTTTCAAGTGATGGAAAATATTTCTTTGTCTATACAAATCATAAGCAACTTTGTCTATACGAGAGAGAAAGTCAGAATCTTTTATTAAATAAAATACTTCCCAAAGCTGCAAGCAAAGTGCAATTTACTCCAGATAATGACATAGTTGTTGCTGATAAAACAGGGGATGTTCATCTCTTTTCTAATAAACAACATGACAGTGGAATATTACTTTTAGGACATTTATCAATGTTACTTGATGTATTAATTACAGAAGATGGGAAATATATTATCACAACGGATAGAGATGAAAAAATTAGAGTTTCAATGTTTCCAAATTCATATAATATTGTTTCCTATTGTTTAGGACATACAAAATTTGTAACAAATATTCTGGAATTACCTCACGATAAAAGTGTCTTAATGTCTTGTGGAGGAGATGGAACATTTATATTATGGGACTACAAAATTGGAAAGGAATTATTATGTGTTAATTTTCATAATAAAATATCTAAAAATGATATTAAAATGTTCAATGAGCTACTTCATAATTATAACTTAGAAGAATCTGTTGAAGTTTTACCTGTTAAACATTTAAGGCTCATGGTACTTAGTACAACTTCATCTTTAGCTATAATGAGCTTCTATAATAATTCATTATTACTAGCGTACATAATTAATAGTACATCAAAATCAAACATTGAAGTAATATATGTACAATCCATAATCACAGATAGTGAGCCAATAGAATGCTATCTTTACAAAGACAATTTATGGATATTAAATGACCATGGATTTAAAATATATGAATTTAAAGATAATAATTTTGTACTTAGTAATGGCAAAAATTATAAAATAAACCAATTAAACAGTTATTGGAAAACATTAAAAAAAGGTACTACTCGACAAGATTTATTCTTCATCTTGTATAAAAGAAAATATGACAATGTTCAAGAATATTTACAACGAAAAAAAACACGTCTTACAAATACGATTGATATGTAAATAGTAATATGCAACATTATAGAAGCTATAACTGATTTTTATACCCAAAATAAAATATAAATGTATAAAATAACATTGAATTTAAACAAAATATTTAATAGAAGTTTTATGCATATTTTCATTACAAAACGAGTAGTATTATAATAAAGTAAGTTCGGTTTATTAACCCAGACTGTTTAGTGAATTAACTGAGTTTTTAATTGAATGTAATTGATATATGTCAATTAAACAGGTTTGTAATCTAATTTGGATTCAAGTTTCTTATTATCTGAAACTTTCCTTACTGCTTTCATAAAATCTTCTTGTATTACATACTCTCTTTCTGATCTTATAGCAAATAGTCCTGCTTCAGTGCAAACATTTCTTAAGTCAGCACCGTTAAATCCATCCGAAAGTTTAACTACTGCTTCATAATCTAGATTAAATTTAAAATTATTAAAAGTATGTACAAAATATTAGAAAAAAGAGGAAAGGAAACAAAACTAAAAGAGAATAGATAAATGGTACCAATTTCTCCATGTTTAGATATATTTGCAGCATGAATTTTTAAAATTTCTAAACGCGCTTGTTCGTTAGGTAATGGGATTTCAATTTTTCTATCTAATCTCCCGGGCCGTAACAAAGCTGGGTCCAAAGTATCTGGTCTATTTGTAGCCATTATCATTTTAACTTGACCTAACGAATCAAAACCATCCATTTGATTCAATAATTCCATTAAAGTTCTTTGAATTTCTCGATCAGCACTCGTACCTTCCGAAAATCTACGCCCACCTGTATAAGAATAAGTAATTAAAAATACTTTATTTATTTACTTTGAACAATAATACTCATACCAATTGCATCAATTTCATCCATGAATATGATACAAGGTTGATGATCTCGTGCATAATTAAACATTTCTCTAATCAATCTTGCTGATTCTCCAATGTACTTATCAACAATAGCACTTGACACAACTTTTAGAAAGTTTGCATTCAATTGACTAGCAATTACTCTGGCTAATAATGTTTTTCCAGTTCCTGGTGGACCATATAAAAGGCATCCTTTGGGAGGGGTTATACCAACTCTTTGAAATAGTTCGGGATTTATTAATGGTAGTTCTATAACTTCCCTTAGTTCACGTGTTTGTTCACTTAGACCACCAATTGCATTATATGCAACATTACCCGGATCTTCATGTGACATATTGTAAACTAATGGATCAACCTGAATATATTAATAAAAAGTTAAAGTTTTTTGGAATATAACATTAATTTACAGGAAAATAAATTTTACCTCACGAGGTAAATAACGCATTATGGTAAGGGTAGTCATGTCAAGGGCTACTCTTGTCCCAGATTTTAATTTATTTTTATCAAGTTGTCGTCGACATCCAACAACATAACGTGGACCATTTGTTGCTTTTACTATAACTAAGCATAAAAATATACTTTTATATATGTATATATGTATATATACCTCATAGAAGAATATTATTTTAGTACACAAACTTACACTTTTCTTCTGTAAGTTGTTTCAATACTTCACCAACAATCTAAAATATAAATATTACACATTTTTAATAGACATTTATATGATATTATATTATAACAAATTATTAAAAGATTTATGACATACCTGTCCAACACTTTGTAAAGCTTTCAAATCACTTTCAGATTTATCATACTTTTTTGTTAAGTCTTTAAGATGTTCTCTCACTAAAAAAATAAGAATTATGCTAAAAATTCATTACAATGATGATTAACTTTGCAACAATAATTATCTATATATGTAGAATTGAGGTTAAGTACCTGAAATTGTTTAGTTAAGTAAAACAAGAAAAATTAATATATATAATAAATACTACTTACTTTCCTTTAAACGTGATTCTACTTCTTTATGTTCTATGAGCTTTTTTCGATAATCTTGAAGGGCTTTTTCCCTAACCGAATCCACGGTGGCTGCCATCTTTACTTATTTTGCTGTCTAACTGTCTTAGGTAACGTTTCTACAAAATACTGTATATATCACGGCATATGCTGTGCAATTATTTTAGATTGTCATTCAAACTTTAATAATGCATATTTTAAAATTTTAATAATTTTGCTAAAAATAGTAAAACTATTAGTTTTAATGAAAGTTACATCTTAATTAACCATTCATTGTTTTGTTGTGATAGTGGATCCGCCTTTATTGCAAATGTATTTATGGTTTAATCTACCCTGTGCGTTTATGGCTTATCTTATGCCCTATAAAGGACATTTAATATATATTATTTAATTAAAAGTTGCATTTCTGAATGAAATTAATAAAAGCTTAAATTTCAATTTATAGCTAAAATGTTAGTTTTAATAAGTAAATTATATCCATTTAGATGTGTAACTGCATTGTGCACAAAAGTAATTAAAAGAAATTATATGAATGAAATGATAAAAAATCATCCTTATAAACATATTCATCCATGGAAATCGTTAGAAGAATTTTCGGACCATCTATTAAATAATATGATTTACAATAAAAGTAATAATGTTTAATAATCGATATATATGATTGTAATATCTGTTGATATTAATTTTTAATTTTGTTTTTCCAGATGGACTAGTAGTATTAAATAAACCATATGGAATAAGGCGTAATAAATTTGAATCGTCGAATTCAAGAAATAATGTACCATATGGTGCAAATTATGTGTTACAAGATGCTATACCATATATTGCTATGCAATTAAATTATCCAAATTTAACTATAATTCGAAGTCCTGAGATGTAAATGCAAATTAGTTTTCACTAATTATTTGTAACTTCTGTTTTTACTTAAATTTAAGAATTAATTATTATATTAGGTATATGAGCGGTATTACACTTCTAGCATCAGATTTAAACGTTGAAAATGCTATAGTACTTGCATATGCTCGTTCTGAATTTTTTGCAAATACTTATTGGGTTATTACAGTCCGTGTACCTAAAAAATTGAAGGATGATTCATGCTTGGCAATTAAATCTGTATCAAATCCTAAGTTTCAAGAAAGAAAGGTAAAAATTAAATAATTTCTTAAAATGTCTTATATTAATACTGCATTATTTCAATAAAATTTTCAGAATATCCTTGTTTCAAACTGGTCTAATAATGAAAAAATATCACATAAGATAAAAATATTAAAAACAGAATATGAGGTGTTATCTAATTCTACGCTTAATTTGTGTTCCTTGATTAAATTAAAATCATCTACTCATAATAAGCATGCCATTAGATTGTTTACATCTACATGCTTATATTGCCCAGTTCTAGGAGATAATATTTATGCAAATCTTATTCAGAAAGTAGGAAAGACTTATGTAAGAGTTGATCCATTTCTTAATAAGTTTGGTCTACCAAAATTAGATGAAAAGCTCTTCATATTATTGAAAGTGAACCCTAGAGAACAAAGAATTATTCCTGCTCACATTCATTTAAAATCAATAATTCTACCAAAATTTTTTGGAGAAACGTTAACAATTGATGCACCTTTAATGCCATATTTTAATTGGACATGTGAACAACTTGAATTTAAAAGTGTAATAAACAATAGTGTTGAGCCTAATTCAAGTTTAGCAAGCAAAATAATTTAAACATAAATTAATTTTTGTATGATATAATATTGTATTAAATGTATGTTTAATTATACTTTTATTAAGGTATATATATTTTAAGTAATTATTTATTAATAAATCAATTTACATTATTTAGTGGCTAAGTACATATTTGCCCTTTAATATTCTTCTCATAAGAATTTTTCGACCATTGGGAGTTGACATTCTCGTAAACCAACCATGGCGTTTAATACGACGACGTTCATTAGGATGTGGGAAATGATATCTGACTTTAGTTCTATTTGAAGTAAGACTCCATGAATTACTTATTGTTGTCGAACTAAAGATTGATGAACAAGTTTGACCCAACGAGACCAAACGCCTGTTAAAGAAAAGTATTGTTTACTTGAAAAAGAGTACAATATTAATTTTATTAGACATATAAAATTTTATCTTACGGAAGTGTTTGATATGCTTTGGAAATTAAAGTGTTTATCATACTGTACAAATTCAAGGATTATTAAATTTCGTATTTGAAAATATATTTTGAAGTTACTAACTGGTTAACTTGTAACCATAAATGATACAAAACAATAGATACTACTTCGGAAAAAATTAGAATGTTTGCAGTTAAGGTGTTCGATGGTATATTTCAGCGATTGGTTGAAGCTCACGAGCCAGGTTCGATATGATTGGCTGGGACTTTCATGGCGCCATCGAGTAGAAAGACATAGATGATCTATATCTTTTTTAAACAGCAGTCTTTTGCTGGTTATTCAGCTATATATATTTAACAGATCGGGTTTATTAAAATATAAATAGGACAATTTTACAAAATTACAAATACAAAATACAAAATTACATACAAAATCATGATCCATCATGTATATTTATGACTTTCTGATAATTATATAATCTAGTGTTTTAGGTCATTGAGCTAATGCGAAGAGTATAAATGCAAAGTATTCAGAATATCCACTTATTTATTTCTTTGTTTTAAATTGTTTTTTAGAGTAATTAAATACATTATTTAATCTGTGTTGTTTTCCAGTAACGTAATATAATAATTTTTATACATTATAATAATTAATACGTTTCTAAACTATTATCGTATTATCGTCGAATTTATAAAAGCATTTATTTTACTTGGTATTTATTTAGTTCGGTACTGATAATTTCTTATTGTATATTTTATTCTCTACCTTATTTTATATTTATTTAACTTCATATTTAATTTTACTTTCAATTTTAACCTAGTGTTATAATCCTATTCTATATTGAATCGGTAACGTTGGAAATGACATTGACAACATAAAATTGAAAATACTAAAATACTACGAAAAATACTAAGAGGGTTTAAAGTCGTCTAAACATAAGAAAAATACGTTAATCGATGTGTTTATCATATTTTTTGTTTACGATATAAAATATATTAATACTGCTCATAAGTCTCTTTACTATCGTCACTGTCGGTATTATCGATTCAGCACAGAATGAGATTACAGCACTAGCAGTGAACAGAGTTAAAACTATACGTGGATATAAATGTGCAGAAGATTTACAATCGAAATAAATTTATTCACGGAATTACAATGTACGATTTGAATCTGATGTTATTACTTTATGTTAAAATTATTCAAATGTCGTTATAATTCGTAATAGGTTCGTAAAAGACGATTATATAATTTTTAAGATATACATTATCGTACACATCGATCCTTTTAAATGTCACTATCGATTTTGCTTTTCCTCTGCGTGAAAGTCATGCTTATACGCAAAAGTTGACCCAAAGAAATTAAACGGCCACACGAAATATTCATAGGACAGCTTAACAAATCGTGTGGATCATTTCGCTTACCGGTTTCATTGATTGGCACTGGCATCGCTATTGTGATCGAGACACTGATCGAATGGGTTTATCAGCGTGAAACGTCCGCGAACAAAATGTTTCTAATAACACTTCTCGCGCCAAAGAATACCGCGGCTATTGAGAACCGATTCATCTCAATCATGTCACGAGTATCACGTCTGATTTATGCTCGTAGGGTTCGGTATACGGTTCAAAACTGCTCCCTTCTTTCCTCCGTGTCACCCTCGCCTTCTTACCCTCTCGTTTCGACCGGATGCACCCCATGGCGCTGACCTTTCTCGCGTACGGGTCGATCTCTGTGGTATTCGTAATGGAATATACGATTATACGAAGATCTCGTTGTCACGTTACGTATGCGAGATTAAAAATCTCCCCGGCAGATAGATCGTGATCATGTTCCTCGATCGTAACTGAAACCATGGCGTAGGAGGGATAGTTGAGGAAGAACGATCCGTAGATGGCTCGCGGTAAACAATTTGCAGCCGCTTTTAAACGTTCACGTGGAAACACGTGGCCCACTCTATAGGTAGATAGTATCCCGTAGTTTCGCGTTGTGTCGTTTCTAATTGCACCGATGCGACCTCGTTCGTGTATTATGTGGAACGGGGATACATAACGTCAGACGAACCATTATACCCAGATGCACCATATGCGTGTTTCGACAAAGAATAAACTAAAAGTCTTGGAACGTTCGAAACGCGAGGTATGTCGTATGGATGCGAGAATGCGTAAATGAGAGCGCCAGTGTGAGAAAGGAAAAAAGAGAAGATCGAGAACGATTGATGATCGTCAAACGCGACTTTAATGCAACTTTATAACCATGTGAGATGGAGAGAAACGTGTGGAATAGAAAATTTTTCATTTTTCCCCACTATCGCTCTGCAGAGGGGCGCAGAAGTGTCTTCCAAGGGGGATTGCAACGGATATTTTTATTTTAATATAGTTACTCTACACTATAACTAAGACATGAGTAATTAGATATCAAGTTCAAAGTATAATATGTTTTACATCGTATAGGAGATAGTTGACAGGAGGATATCGCAGAATATTTGATTACCTTCCTTGAGTAATGAAAGAAATTAGAACAGAATGTGTATATATATATATATATATACATATATATATATATGTATATATATATATTCTAATTTCTAATGTTTCTTTCATTACTCAAGGAAGGTATATCTATCTTTGAGTGCTTCTCTAGAGCGACTGACCGACTCGTGAGAGAGTGTCAAGAGGGTACGTGACGCGGTTCGCCCAATCCCCCAATTCTTATCTAAAGTTTATATAAACATTCGTTCTCGGAATGTAGGTCTTATAGATTATTTATTCACGCCTTATATCCTAGATTCATTTTTGTGTATAACTAAACCTATCTTTTCAACGATTCTATAAAAGAAAACCGATTTTGGTAGACAGGACAGATTTCTAAAGAGATTCTCGAGCAGTGACGAATTTCACGAAAAATTCGGGATGATGGACGTTTGGTAGAATCGTGCCCGTGTACGAAAATCTCGCAAGCGACCTCGCGATGGCCGAAAAATGCGTGGGTGCGGGTGATCGTCCTCATAGCCGTTCGTGGACCCGGTACATTGTCAACTGTCAGTTGACAGGGCACAGGATGCGCCTTTTCCGTTCGGAAAGAGCTCCGTTGACCACTCCCATCCCATAGAATTGCGTTCAATCGTCCATCGATTGAACGTGACCGTATCGCCAGCTATACTTATCGATCGGCCCTCGCCGCGTATCTTTCCGCGCGACGTTCTGCTCGAAAAATGATAGAGGCGCCGGTCTCGTCTTCTTCCAGCGATTTGCCTGTCAAATAATTCTTCTGGTCGCTGCGGGCCTCGCGATTACGACTCTTCGTCCGCTTCGTACCGATTGACGCAACCTTCCCGAAACGCGATTTATGACGGGCCATTCGCCCGATAATTCGATTGTTCGTTGCATACACCGCCGTTCTCGATGATATCGGCACGATAGCGAATCGATGGGATTTACCCAGGCCCCCGGTAACGCGGCACGCGAAATCGATATCGATTTTACACCCGCATCGTAACATAGACGCGCGTTAATTAAGCGGCAAGCGGGTGTATCGGGCGTGCAAACGAGAGGCTGATTTACAACGCAATCCGATTTCCTTCTTCCTCCACGCGACTGCTTAATCGTTGCAATTATTTCCACCGTCGCCGTACACCTCTGCCATCCTCGAGAACCATTTATTTCATCCATTTGCACGTCGAGATGGCGGATCCATCGAAGGAACGAACCTTCGATTCCGCCGGGCACGACGCGCCCAGCTCTCCGGAAAAAATCCTAATGCCCCCGTTTACGTGACGCAACATCCGGCCAACTCGTGTTTCAGTCGCAACGTGCATCGTCTTCATTGTAATCGTTCACGCTTCTATGCGAGCTTCGGGTGAAATCCGCTCTTTGTGCACCCCGGTGCGTCGGTTCTTTTTCTCCGGGGATTAAAAAGGGGACGTTTCCGTCACGTTTCGTCCGAATCCGTGAACCGAGGCGTGGATATTTCATGTATTCCACGTCCCAGGGTCTGTCTTCGTCATTCAGCGTTCATCGGCGATATTTGTAGCGAATTCTTACTCGCGAAGTTTCTTAAACCCGCGTGTTCATCCTGTGTTCGTCTTGGCGCACAATGCGGAGCGGATCTGTTGCGAGGGCGAGGGCAAGTTACATTGTCAACAGACGCGTTCTTTATGCTTCTACACGTGCATCGAACCGTCGTGCTCCACCTTTTAGAGGATTTCTTGGTTACCTGGTCGGCTGAAAGGTTTAAGGAACGTTTTCTAGGGTTTATCCAGCGGACTGTGCTCGGAAACGATTCTTTGTCACCGAGGGATTTCGTTAGCGCGGCTAAGAACCTCGATTCAAGGTTCGAGGGGAGAAATCTCAGCAGAATCCGTAAACTCATGTTACCGAGAACTTATTTCTGCAGGATGGACTGCGTTTTTGCGACTCCTGTATTTTATGCACGGTTATGACCAGATTCGAATCGCGAACAAAATTTGTAAACACTCGGAGAGACGTCTTAGAAGAGACTTCCTCTTTTGCCGTTTCTGAGAAATAACGAGACGCAGCTCGTTTTCGCGATTGCATTACGCTTCGTTGAGGAGAATCCAGCAGCTTTGTTTACGCGGCGCAATTGACATTGCTAATTCCCTCGACTAAAGCTCTGGAAAAACGCATTTACTGCTTCTAATTACGAATATCGCGATCGCGTGGTAAATTAATTAGCTTCGCTGACTAATTGAAGATACCCGTACTAGCTCGATCGATCGAGTCGGTAACCTCTGCGGAAAATTGCAATCGCGTCGTTGCTGCTTCTCGGCACTTTTCATCCTCAAGGGTCGATTCATTCTCGTTGCTTCGATTGCCGGTATACGCGGCATAATGAACTTGAACCGCGATCACATTTTTCACCGTTCGATCTTATCCGAATCGCTCGTTCCTACGAGACGAATCTCGGAAAGAGGGTGACTGGAAGAAGGGAGCGATGAAATATAGGATATTTCGCAATTGCTCTGGTCGATAGTCGGTTCGTTTCGAGAGGCGTGTATTCGAGAGCTGGCCAGCTTACGACTTTATCGTTATCGCGAAAGATAATCGACGATAAGGTCATCGGCGTGATTTATCAGACGTTTCTTTTGGGACACTTTTAACCGCGATATTTAGATTTCGAATG